GTGGCTTACCCTCAGGCATACATTTGTTCAATTCAATCTATGGTCGCAAAGCAATGTGCTGATATGATTTGATTTGAACAAAGTTGGTCATACTGCTTACTCGATCCTGATTGCCGAAGAATAGACTGCTCGTGTTGCATCAGTTAGTTGGGTATGATCAGCCGAATTGATTTTGTCGTATTTTCGGCACCAGTGCTTGACTTAATCATACTCGTTGCAGATCTCTGGTAGGGATTAGTGTTGCCAGAAGTGAAGATTTATCTTCAAAATGAATATTTTGTTATAAAAAATATCATCAAAATCTTAAAGCGAAGATATTAAAACAAAATCAAAATTTCATACAAAAAAATCTTTGTTATCAAGATATCTGGCAAATACTTGAATATTTTCTGTGTAGTTGATACAGAAGTTCACCACTTTATCAGCTATTTGATTTTGCACATGCGAGAACAGGATAGCTAGATGTCGGTAAACTCTTGATATAGATAGATTACAAAGTGTATTCAATAAAGTTAAAATTAGTGTATGCCATTTAATACTTCGTTGCGCTTATTTAATATGTATATTGTCATTGATTTAACCCTTATTTTTATCCAAAACTTCAAAAATTAACAAATTTCAAAACGAAAAACAATATTTTATTAAAATAAACAAATGTGAACAACGACAACAGTTGCAGTGACAGAAATTTGGTAGACGGGATATATAGGTAGTCGAGTCAAGCATTTGAAAAATAACAGTTGCATCAAAAACATCACAACGACAAAAAATGTTTATACATTTACTTTAGAATACACTATTAGAAACAAAACGATTCACCTAATTTTTATACTCTTGCAACATGTTGCTACGGAGTGTAATAGTTTTGTTCACCTAACGGTTGTTTGTATCACCTAAAACTAATCGACATAGATATGGAGTGATATAAATGTAAATGATCATGATGATGATACGAGTTGAAATACGGATGCCTGTCTGTCCGTCCATCCGTTTGTATGTGCAAACAGTAACAAGAATTTAGATGTAACTTGGGACACGTGTTCCTTGGCAAAAACGTAAGGATGAGTTCGCATTTAGCACAGGAGATCACAGTAGCAACAAAAACTAAATTCGCTCAAGACAAATCCCTTAAACACCTCTACCGACACTGTAAAAATAGATGAAATCGGGTGATCATCCCGCCCACTCCCCATATAACGGTTCTGTTAAAAACTACTTAAAGTGCGATCAATCAATAAATAAATACACCAGAGACAAATCATTTTACAGGTAGGATGATGCAAGAGGATCTTAAAAAAAGCCGGGGTCAAAATTGGACAATGGGCGTGCTACCCCCCATATTTAGGTGAAAACCCATATCTTGGGACCTACTGGACCGATATCGACCAAAAAAAAAACAAAAAACGCCTACTTCACATATAACACAATATTAAATTCCACGTGATTTTTTCACTTTCCAGCATGCAAATCAAACATCTATCGGAATAAAACTTATCACGAATAGTGGCTTTGGGATGCGTCACCCTATTACCAAACATTGTCTAAATCGGACTAAAGCTATTCAAGCCTGTATATACCAAATATGTGGACCCCAGTTCCTACAGCTAAAATTTTATTGAAAATATCAGTCAATCTTTTCTGATAATAATATGTCTATACATATGTCAAAAATGGGTTGTATCGAGTCAATGATTCCTTGAATGAATGCCACGTAATAGAAAGATTTTTGAACTATCGATTGACTTTATATCGCATATATTGGTAAGATACCTTAGAAAAATTCAGGGTGTTGTAGAATCTGATAGTTGTCGGAATCAGAATTGAAACCGATAAAAAAATGTAGTAGGTGTCATGAATTCAGATATTATTGGTTTGACGTTCGAAACAGAAATTGTATCGGTTTTGGGTGTCACAGAAACCAATTTTATCGGTTTTGTTATCAGAAACAAAGCAAGAGGATTTTTGCTGACAGATTTGAAATGCATAATTAATTACATAACCCTATATCTAACTCGATTAGTTTTAGGTGATACAATTAACCGTTAGGTGAACAAAACTATTATACTCTGTAGCAACAGGTTGCGAGAGTATAAAAATATAATAACTATTAAGAATTATATTATAATAACTATAAAGAGTCGGTTCTAATAGTTTTTTGGGGTACTGGTAACCACGTATAATGTTGCATTGATACACGTATGTCATTATTTGTAAAATAAATATGAATTCATAATAACGTTGAGAATAAACATATTGGTTTTCTCTATTTCTTTTACATTTTTATTTATCACATACGAGGTGTGTTCAAAGGAAAAGGTGAATTTTAAATATATTTGAAAAGTACTTATTTATTCATCAATATCTATATTGACCTCTACAAAGTTATATTCTCGGATATAGTGCACTTGTGCCAACGGTTTTCCAATCCTCGAAGCACTTCTGAAATGCGCTTTTCGGTATGACCATCAGCTCTTTCTTCGATTCTGACTTGATCTAATCAATTGTGGCAAAACGCTTTCCTTTCATTGGTTTTTTCAGTTTCCAAATAGGAAAATGTCGCAGGGAGCCAAATAAAGCCGTTTGAGCAAGCCCGGTTCGTGGTTGACGTCATTCAACAACTCCTGAGCGATACTAATGCGACATTTCGGAACAAATTTCGCTGCCACATGTTTCATGCCCAAAACATTCGAGAAAATTGAATGTCATGAGCCGATCGATACGCCTACATCTGCTGCAACTTCCCTAATAGTGATACGACGATTTTCAAGAAAAATTTTTTCCACTGTTTCGATGTTTTCTTCGCTTGTTCACGTGGTCGCACCTTCAGAATATTCATCGTCATCAACACCTTCTGGACCTTCTGAAAGGCGCTTGTACCACTTATCAACAAATTTTTAAAACAAGGTGGACTCACCGTCAACATATTTACCTTTGAGCACTATATTCCATTTATAAGTCTTTCGTCTTTCACAAGAGACGAGTTGAAATCCGGGTTACTGTCTGTCCTTCCGTCCGTCGGAGATATGCACATGAAACATATTAGGGGCGGGATCACGCCTCTTTTTTCAAAAAAAATTTCACTGCAGAGGCCCCTCTCTAATGTGATTCTGTATACCAAATAACAGTCTTGTATTTAATTGTAGAGCTTAGTTATGGCAATTTATTTGTTTTTGATTAATGGCGTTTTGTGGGCGTGACAGTGGTCCGATTACCAACCGTCTTACGGTACCAAGAAACATGTGTACCAAGTTTCTTAAAGATATCTAAATTTTTATTATAGTTACAGCGTGCACAGACGGACAGACAGACGGGCGGACAGACAGTCACCCGGAATTCAGCTCGCCTCTTCATCCTGATCATTTATATATACATAACCCTATATCTAACTCGATTAGGTTTTGGTAACCGTTAGGTGAACAAAACTATTATACTCTGTAGCAGCAGGTTGCGAGAGTATAAAAATGGATAACGAGCATTACACTGCAAACTTTCAGCCGAAGCCTCATAGCTCAGAAACTATTGTACCAATTTTAACCAGATTTGGTCCGTAAAATTATTTTAACATCACTATGTTACAGCTCTCTTCTTACAAGGCACTATCGACGAATGTGGCTTGGCGTTGTTTTGATGGAATACAGTTCCTCTTCTATTGGGTAAAGCTGGTCGCTTTTCAGCGATTGCTTGGCTACTTTGTGTATTTGAGAAGTATGAATATCACTAAAAAATATGTATGCTTTATATTTTCTTTATTTACAAACGTTTGCAATTGAACCTTTTATCAAAATTGATCCAAAAAATTTTTTGTTCTTAAAAAACTTTGTGTTTACTTCGCTTCATATTTAATATGGATGTATTACTATGCTTAAACTAATATTTATAGTTGTATCGCGCGTAAAGCTTTTACATTTGTTCAAATCGTTAATTTTATGGCGTATTTTAACTATCTTGTTGGACTTTTCGATGACCCAACGAAAAATAATGATTTTTCGTAATTTTTCCTGCCATTGCCAAAATTTTAGCCGAATCGAAATCGTAATTTTATTTTGGCATCGTGCGTGGATTGTATAAAAAAAATAATGTAGCGAAATACAAAAGTCAGCTTTTGCTCATTCTGATCAAGAAGCGCAACCATTAAACCACTTCCCAACAGTGTTTGACGCAATAACAAGGAGTTTTTCAGGAGCAACAAACAGTCGAAATTGTAGACATCACTTGGCGAACTCGGCCGAAAAGGTGACGAACACCGGAATGAATTTGAATGATCTTATATGGAAATGTTTTCTTGACCACCATATGGGTTAGCGTTAAATAGGTATGAATGAAATCGATCTAGACTTTGGTCTAGCTCCTTATAACTAATATAAGTATTTCGCTCTCCTCATATAGCCAATATATTAAATTTCTTCCTTTGAGTTGAGAAATTTCAGTATTAAAAGGTTTGTGTTATTTTATAAAGCTGCATACGATTACCCCACCTTCCACGAATGTCTTGTTCCAGACCTTTTAATTTATTTCAATAATTTAAAAATATTTTAAGTAACAAAAACGCATCGGATAGTCTGGAGCTGAACTGATACAATTTTGCCGTATGTTTTTTTTTTGGATTATCATCAAACAATTACGTAAATTCTTTCGATGACCAGTTTTATTCAAACCGATAATTTGTTTTTTAATAAATTTCCAAAAAAAAAAAGTTGGAAAAACTTTAAAACTAAATTCATAATTCAATGGATTATCTAGTTCGAATTTGTTTTGTTTTGCACCATATATGGAGGTCAAATTAATTTTATTTGTATAAAAGGTATATTATACTGTAGAAAATATTTATTTATATTTAAAAAGAAATATATTTATATATGCATAAAAGCATATGTATGTATGTAGGTGTACGGTAGGTTTGCAAATATTGTAATATATTTATACATACATACAAGTATATAGGTACATACATATGTACATATAATATAACTTTATGTTACTCCTGTCTTTTTGTTTTGCAGGCAACTTGATTACCATCATTGCATTATTAAAATGTCCCAAAATAAGAGTGCACGCCACTACAGCATTTATTTTGTCGCTCAGTATGTCTGACCTTTTATTTTGCTTATTCAGCTTGCCATTGACTGCTGTGAGGTTTTATGAAGAAGTAAGTAACAATAATTTTATTTGTAAGTATGCTTAAGCTCGAATCAGAGTAGAAGAGCGTGTTTAAAATGTGCTGAAATCTTATAAGCTAAAATATGCTTTACAAGTACTCGTATTTTAAGCATATAATTAGGACTTTTTTGTTAAAACTTCTAATATACTGATTTGAATTATTAGATACAGATGCATATAGTACATGTGTATAATTTTCTTAATTATACTCTCGCAACCTGTTGCTACACAGTATAATAGTTTTGTTCACCTAACGGTTGTTTGTATCACCTAAAACTAATCGAGTTAGATATAGGGTTATATATATATAAATGATCAGGATGAAGAGACGAGTTGCAATCCGGGTGACTGTCTGTCCGTCCGTCCGTGCAAGCTGTAACTTGAGTAAATATTGAGATATCTTTATGAAACTTGGTACACATGTTTCTTGGTACCGTAAGACGGTCGGTATTGTAGATGGGCGTAATCGGACAACTGCCACGCCCACAAAACGCCATTAATCAAAAACAAATAAATTGCAATAACTAAGCTCCGCAATAAGATACAAGACTGTTATTTGGTTAACAGGATCACATTAGGGAGGGGCATCTGCAGTTACATTTTATTTTTAAGTGGGCGTGGTCCCGCCCCTAATAGGTTTAATGTGCATATCTCCTAAGCCGCTAATGCTATAATAATAAAATTCACTGGAAGCAAATGTTTTAGAACCTCTACCTACAGTGTGAAAATAGTTGAAATCGGGTGGCAACTCCGCCCACTCTCCATATAACGGTACTGTTAAAAACTACTAAAAACGCGATAAATCAAGCACTAAACACGCCAGAGACATTAAATTTTATCTCTGGGATGGTATGAGATGACTTTATAGTAACTGCGTTCAAAATTAGACAGTGGGCGTGGCACCGCCCACTTTTATGTGAAAACCCATATCTTGAGATCTGCTAAACCGATTTCAACCAAATTCGGTGCATAACGTTCTTTTCATATTTCTATGTCATAGTGCGAAATCGGACTACAATCACGCCTATTTCCCATATAACACCACTTTCAATTCCATCTGATTCTTTCACTATGCATATCAAGCAACAATGATTATATCGGGGTAAAAATTTGCGTGAATAATACGTTTAAAGTATGCCACCTTGTGACCAAAAATTGTCTAAATCGAAACAAAACGGTTCAAGCCCCTAAGTACTAAATATGTGGACCCCAGTGCCTATAGTTGACCTTCTACCGAAAATATCAGTCAATCTACAAAGAAATCGTAAACGAGTATAAAATGTCCGGTTACATCCGAACTTAGCTCTGCCTTACTTGTTTTTAAGTTGTATTAATTTCTTTTACTTTTTTTTTCTTATTTCAGAAATGGACTTTCGGAGATCCTCTTTGCAAAATATTTCCAGTGATATTTTATGGAAATGTGGCCGTATCTCTTTTGAGCATGGTGGGAATTACATTAAATAGGTAATATTATTGACTCAATAAATGACATAAGTTAAGTGTAACATTAAAAATTTCATTTTATATACACATTTTTATACTCTCGCAACTTGTTGCTACAGAGTATAAAAGTTTTGTTCACCTAACGGTTGTTTGTATCACCTGAAACTAATCGAGTTTGATGTAGGGTTATATATATATAAATGATCAGGATGATGAGACGAGTTGAAAGCCGGGTGACTGTCTGTTCGTCCGTCCGTCTGTCCCTCCGTCTGCGCAAGCTGTAACTTGAGTAAAATTTTAGATATCTTTATGAAACCTGTTACACATGTTTCTTGGTACCGTAAGACGGTTGGTATTGCAGATGGGCGTAATCCATATAACAGCATTTTAAATTCCATCTGATGTTTTCAGTATGTAAATCAATCAACAATGATTATATCGGGGTAAAACTTTGCGTGAATAATACGTTTAAAGTATGCCACCTTGTGATCAAAAATTGTCTAAATCGAACCAAAACTGTTCAAGGCCCTAGGTACTTAATTTGTGGACCCCAGTGCCTATATTTGACCTTCTACCAAAAATATAGGTCAATCCAAAAAGAAATCTCAAACAAGTATACCATTTGACTTTGCGAGAGTATAAAAAGTTCCAAAATGTATATTTACGCCGTTTAAGTGAAAGATACTGATGTTTCTGATTAAATTTTACTACTTTTACTTCCTTTGTAGCAAAATATTTTGGACACGTTTTAAATTTATTTTTAGGATACAATATATAAATCCACTTGACATGAAAGTTTTGATATTCATACTAAAATATATTGTAAAAAATAATTCAGTGTAGTCACGTGAATTTTTTTATATGGAAATTGGTATAAAATTTTTTATATATTATTACTTTACAGATACATACTGATCGCCTTTCATTCTCTATACGTACAAATATATAAACGAAAATATATACTACTACAACTGTTTTTTATCTGGTCAACTTCATTTATATTGCTCGTAAGTCATATACAGTTCTTCTTTTATTAATAAGATTGATTTAGTTTCATATGCTCATATATATAAAAATTATGATAAAAATATTATTATACGCTCAGCTTGTAATACCCAAAACTAATCGACGTGGATATGATGTACTTATTAAGGCAATTTATAGGTTTTCGATTAAGGAACACGTGTACAAAGTTTCATGTCGATGTCTCACTTTTTACTCAAGTTACCGCTTGCGTAGACGGACGGACGATTTCGTAGATGGACGTAATCGGAACACTGCCACGCCCACAAAACGCCATTAATGGAAAACCTATAAATTGCCATAACTAAGCCACAAATGAAGATACAAAACTTTAAGTTGATACAACGAATCGCAATAACGAGGGTCCCCGCCTCCTAATAAGTTTAATGCATATATGAATGTATATGCCAAACCAGTCAAGCTATATCACCAAAATTGGCACAGGACAAATTATTATGACACCTCTTGCCTGAAAATAGGTGCAATTGAATGATTACTTCGCCCACTCCCCATAAATCAGTACTTACATGCGTCAGACCTTAAATTTTACATTTAGAATAGCACAAGAGGAGCAGGAGTCAAAATTGGCCGATGGGCGTGGCACCTCCCACTTTTAGGTGAAATCACATTTCAAACAAATTTGGTACATAGGATTATTTTGACATTCCCATGTTACAGTGTGAAATCGGACACAACTTTAAATTCCATTCTATTTTTTAATTTTCAGTATAAAAATCTAGCACCAATTTATATATCGGGATATAACTTTATACGAATAGTGCCTTTAAGGTATGCCATCTCAGGTCTAATAATTATCTAAAGTCGGACATTAACTATTCAAGCCCCTAATACCGGAAATGCGAACCCCAGAGTATATGGCTGACTTATTGAAAATATCAGGTCAATATGAGAGATATATAATTGAAATTAGAAGAGAATCATTTTCTGATAATAGTATGTCTCTATGTCAATAATGCTGTGATCTCTCAAAATGTTTTTTTAATCTTTTCGTTGCTTTCTTCCTCCAATAAAATAAATCCAAAATTGCGGAACTCATTGTAAACTTGAATATACTTTATTTAGCATTTTAAATTTCAAAAATCCAATCCGATTCTGTGGAAATTTTTTTTTGTTTGCAATGCTCACAACTAACCAAATCTGACTTGGTTTTCAAAACACCTCTGAATAATATGTAGTATTCCAAAAAAAAAAATGTAATAAGGTCAATACTACCCCTATCTCAAATATACATAATATAAGGTTTCGAAACCTCCGATTATCTTTATACCGTATATATTGGTCAATATGTAAGAAAACTTAGGAAATAACTGAGCTAATAATATTGAATATATTATAAGTTTAATGCCAAAAATTTGTGAAACTATATTAGACTACATATAATAGTTTCCGTTATCTAACAAACCATAATATTTTAATTGTTAAGCGGTGAACATGTATGGAGTTGGTCTAGACCTTGGTCTTAGTCTCTTATTCCTAATGTCATCAATTCCGACCTTCTGGTTGACGTTTTGCACATCAGCTCAATATATTAAATTTAGCCTCTTCGATTAAGTTTATTTAGGCGTTTGAGTAAAGTATTTTTAGATCTTAGGTATGAACGTCAAACAATAATGCGAAACGAACAATTTTACTGCTAAGTTTACTTTCAGCATAAGCTCTTTTGTTTTTGGGAGTGTATAAAGAAAAAAAGATAAATTTAAGCCAAGAGTTTAATGTTAAAATTTTATTTTAATTTTCACCGAAAATACAACCATTATCCATATTCAAATAAAATTTTTTCCCCAACACCACTGAAATTAATGCATATTTAAAATAAATTAGCAAAACAAATGATTGGAAAGCTCACCAATCAGAGTCTGCGATTTTTGCATATTTAAATGACAAAAAGTATCAGCACGATTAGTGATGCGCGATTTTCTTTGTCACTGCGCCTCGACTAGTGGGTAATGTCTTTCCCAATATGATGCAACGTCGGAAATATTTCAGTTGCATTCAGTTAGATGAACACTCTCTTAATAACGTTGAGAACTTTAAAATTGCGATTAATTATACACGCCAGAAGCATACGGAAAGGCTTAAGGGGTTACGTCTCCTAAAAAAAGGCCTATTTTCAATAATTTTTTTTCTATATAAAAAATTATTAATTAAATAAATAAACTTAAACTTTTTCTGTCTTAAAGATACACAATTAAAGAATAATTTTTGAGATTTTCAAAAAAAAAAATTAAAATTCCGCCATTGTAACGTCATATCCGGTGATCCCTTGAAAAAAAGAGGTGCGTCCGCGTTGTCAGCATAACTCCTGACAAGATCATCTGAAATGAAAAAAATAAAATATGTGTTTTAGTTAGGACTATAAAGGAAAAAGAGTTTAAATTTGACATTTCTTTTTTTTTAAATAGTTGTAATTGAACCAAAAAAAATCCTCCGCGGCAAGACCTTGTAAATTATATTTTAAAGACCTGTGTAAAATTTCATTAAGATCAGTTGAGTAGTTCGCGAGAAATCTTTACAACCGACTTTGAAAACACAATTTCGAGAAAAACGCGGTTAAAGTTTTATGTGACCATAAAGCTGACCTCGAGCGCGCAACTTTTCAAAGCTGTATCTCCAAAACTATTACTGATATCAACTTGCGAATTCGGGTCAATATTGTAGAGACGTTGTAAAATTAAATAAGACTTTTTTTTTTGAAGCCGGGAAACCCATGTAACCCCTTAACACGAATCTGTGAAAAAAAACGGATAATGAACTTTTAGGTTAAATCGTGTACCTCCGGAACTACTCGAACAACACATTTGGTGCATAACTTGATATTCTTATGTTACACTGTGAAAATGGGCGAATTCCGACTGCAACCACGCCTACTTCCCATGTATCAGGATTTTTAATTCAATCTCATTTTTTACTTTACAGTATATGAATCAACCACCAATGAAGATGTCAGAACAAAGCCATCTCTTACAGAAAGTCCCCTATTTGCAATTCAGATATAGCTCACTTATACCTAATATAAAGATTTTCAAACTTCCGGTTGACTTTATACCATATACATTTGTATATCGGTCAATATGTAAGTTGTCTTAAACAAATTCTGAGGATGTACTTTTGTAATATTAATCCGTCTTGTGCTGAAAATTGTTAATATCGGATAAATACTTCTCCTAGCTCCCATATAACTAATGTAAGGATTTTTAAATTTCCGGAACACTTTACACCACGTAGGGCTCAATTTGAGAGTTATTTTAATGAAAGTCATCTTTTGCTGGTAATAACATGGCGAGGTGACCTATATGTATATAAAATTTATATTAATTTGCTGGTTGGCTTTATACCTTAACTTAACAAAACTAAGCGAGTTGGTTCTCCACTAACGTCTTGCATTCTGGCTCTGGACCAATGGACCTCGCATGCGCTCAGCAGACGCTGGTCGACGACCAGCTCCTGCGCGACTGCCCTTCTGGCCGAGAGTGGATCGCAGGAGGTCGGGGGATCTTCTCGCCTTGAACAAAGTTCACCTCGCCGCCATGGTAGGAGTTCTCACTGGGCACTGTCCAATGGGAACTCATGCGGTGCGGTTTAGAATACTACCTGATGGCAGTTGTCAAAGCTGTATAGAGGAGGTTGAAGTGGAAACATCCCGGCACTTTCTCCTCCATTGTCCGGCTTTTGCTAGATTGAGATTGAAACATCTCGGCAATCACACTTTTGGCGGACCAGAAGATCTGGCCGAAACAGATATTGGCCGTCTCAACAAGTTTGTCATAGGCACAAAGCGCTTTGTCGACATGTAAGGGTCTATTGATCCGGCTCATAGGAGTTTTGGGTACCACAACGGACCGGCGTTTAAGCTGTCCAAGTGTGATCCTTCTTAGGATCGACCCTCTAACCTAACCTAACCTAACCTCGACCTAAGGTTGTTATACAAACATGGACTAGCAAAATGCTTTCCATTGAATGCAAACCGTTGGACGGTTAAGTTTTCAGATTTGATTATATATATAGTTGTGATAAGAAATGCACCTGTGAAAGGGTTTGCTTCGGTTAACTTTGTTATTTTCTTGATTAATATAAATTTTGTCAATACTTGAATATATGCCTCTGGCGTTGTTCTTTGAAAATTGCATGAGTATAAAATGTTGGGCTGCACTGATCATAGCCCTTCCTTACTTGATCTTTTATTATTTTATACCGATTTAATAAACAGAAAGGAATACACAACATCCCTGATTGTTGATTCAATGTGTACATGAATCACGATTAATTGAACTAAAGTAAATGAGAAACTACCCTTGATCTCTGAATCGCGGGATTTGAATGACTTATAATTCTCTGATCATAGGTATATTACTTTCAGCTTTGACGTAGTGCGTCCAACTTGTATACGCTATAAGAACTTTATAAATACGAATTGGGACTTATACTGTAGAAAGATACAAATAGTGTTATGTTTTATGTTTACATATTTGTGGATAGTTAGAAATTGGTGTGGATAGTGCATTTTGCGTTAATGCATATTCTATTGGTTGTTTATAATTCTACTTGATTTTGTCTTGTATATGTGACGTAATGCGTAGCGAATAGAGAGAAAATGGAATTATCCCTTTCTTCAAACGGACCGACCTCATTACTCTGTTAGGTGTTGTAGACGGTTAATTAAGATTTCGTATAATTTGTCAATTCGCCTTTGTTGCCGAGTATTTTTTTAGTGGGTGCTATCCAGTTATTATGAAGACTGAATTCTACTGAGTTCTCTTCAACGGGTATCTAAAATGTGGAAAGTTCTTGAATGCTACTAATATGTAGTTGGGAAAAGGATACTTCAAGTTTTCGTTATGTATGATTTATCTTAATTGTCATTGATGGTTGTAATAGTGATGTTATCTCATTCTTTAAAATGTATCAGATTCTTTATATCACTTATGCCCACGTCTTGAGCTCGCGAGCTTCTCTGCTTCCACAT